AATTTTTATTTCTTGAATTATTACAAAGAGTATTACATATGTCTCCTTTCCCCTCCCCTCCCTTGACTTCCCCTGGCCCCTTCCCCCTAGTGTCTTGTGTCCATTGGTTATTCTTATATGCATGCATATAAGTCCTTCGGTTGATCTCTTAACCCCCCACCCCCCACTAGGCTTCCCACTGTAGTTTGACAGTCTGTTCAATGCTGCTCTGCCTCTTCCATCTACCCCTGTTCATCAGTCTATACTGGTCCCCATTATCTGTCCCACCCTCACTGGAGCCGTTTCGTCCTCATCAGGGCCGTCCCGACCTCACTGGGGCCATCCTGACCTCACTGAGACTATCCCTACCTCACCGGGGCCATTTCAACCTCACTGTGGCCATCCCGACCTCACTGGGGCCTTCTTGACCTTGCTGGTGCCGTACATCGCCAGGGTCGTTTCGGCCTCACTGGGCCGTCCCAACCTCACCAGGGCCGTCCTGACCTCACCGGAGCCCTCTCGGCATCGCTGGGTCTGCCGTCATTTTTAATCCCCGGTTGGAAAGTTTTCTCTCTGGAGGGAGGAATTTGGCAGGCGATCTAAGGGCCCTCATGTTTTCACTCAGTCCCCATGCGATCAACTCTTGCCTTTTGCAGTGTCTGTTAGGCAATTCCTGAGCCTTCCTGAGGTTCTGCTGTGTGAGTCGGTTTGCTTTTCACAGGAGTCCCCTCTGTCAACACTTGAACTCTTTCATCTGCTTTCTGTCCTTCAAAAATTGGTTGTGCTTTTGGCCACTGCTGTCTAATCTCCAGGTTTCTTTGCTCAGGCATATCCTCCTTCCCCTTCTCCCTGCTCCCTTCCTCCTGCCTCCCTCCTTCCTTCCTTCTCTCTTTTCTCTTTCCTTTCATTTAGTAGTATTTCATATGGGAGCACAAATAAGCATATGTTCAATTTGCCATGTTTAATTGGAAGACCAACTCCAGAATCACCTTTGTTAAACTACACAATCCTCATTCCTGTTATCACCCCCGTTATAGCAAAATTTGCCACCTACTATGCCACCAAATCCTAATGGTGTTAGTTGCTTATTTCTGGATGTCCTCCTACTTCTGAACACAGTCTTTAGTGTTGTAAGTGTGGGGTGGTTATCGTTTTGTACAAAGAATGTATTTTCTTTTTTGATATATTGCCCTCTGATAAAACCCAGTGCCTTTGCTGTGGCAGTTCATTGAACTGGAAACCCAGTCCCATTGTCTACTATATCCCAACCAGCAGGATTCTTCAAAGGTCCTAGCTTTCCCTGCCTTGCCTTCTTTCTCACCAGTCTGTCTCCATAGGCAGAGGACCTGGTGAAGAAACAACCTTGGGCCCTCACTGAGGCAAGCAGCAGGAAATGCCAGCAAACCCTGGAAGAACTGGAGAGTGTCCTCAGCCACCTAGAGAGCCTCTTTGCCCGGACCCTAGTGCCACGAGTGCTGATCCTCCTTGGGGGCAGTGTTCTAAATCCCAAAGAATTCTACGAGCTTGACTTGTCCCGCTTGGCCCCCAGCAACGTGGACCAGAGGGTGAGCACAGCAGCTTGTTTGCGCCTTATCTTCCGCGCCATTTTTATGGCCGATGCCTTCAGTGAGCTTCAGGCTCCTCCACTCATGGGCACCATTGTCATGGCACAGGGGCACCGCGACTGTGGAGAAGATTGGTTTCGACCCAAGCTGAACTACAGAGTGCCCATACGGGGCCACAAACTGACTGTGACCCTGTCCTGTGGCAGACCCTCCATCCCGGTCACAGCCTGGGAGGATTACATTTGGTTCCAGGCACCAGTGACACTGAAAGGCTTTCACGAGTGAAGAGGGCCGCTTCTTAATCGTGAACACATGGCTAAATTATCTTTCCTTCTCTGGCACCAAGTCACCGGGCTCTTGCTTGGAAGTGGAGTTGCTTCCTGACGAGAGGAAGGTTCTGTCCTGGCTGCCTGCCTCCCCTTCTCAGACTTCCTGGTGAGCTGATGGTGTGACTGGGCCTGTAATCATCATCACTGAACAACATCTCTGTGAATCAGAGGTTGACCGGGTCACACTTGACTGTTTGGGGTTGGAAAGCAAATGCGGGCCCATAGACACTATTATGGAGGTGCCTTTTTCTGTGGCCTTTCCGAATTTTTACCAGAGGCATAAATGTTGGTGTGACTCATGAATTTAAATATGAAATGAATGAATATATTAAATTTTCCCAAAACTCTTGGCTTAAAGAGACTTTCCAGGCTTGAGGCTAGAGTATTTTGTCTTTCTCCCGAGTCTCTTATTTATTTATTTAATTTTAGTTTTTCACCACCAGTTCTTTCTCTTCATCAGCCCCAGGCCAGTCTGGGAGGTTAAGTGACTTGGCCAAGGTTCTGTAGCAGTTTGATTTCAGCTGGGACTAGATTCCTCATTAGCTAACCCCTAGCCCAACATTCTTTCCTTGTCACATACTGGTTTTGACCCTTCAAACATGTGCCTGGAGCAGAGGTCACGCAGGGGAATGGGCCGAAAGACTAGGCCGAGGAAAGAAAACTGAGGAGCTTTGCAAAATCTGATGTAACTGTCGGCTGAGGCCCCAGGATTGCCCTTTGGGGTCAGCTCCCTGAGGCCACATGTCCCTTGTGGAATTCAGCCCTGCCTGTCGCTGTTGGCAGTACCTGCTTATTTCTTGGAAGCTGAATACATAGTCCTCACCCTGCTGGTGTTGGAGATAGGAGTGTGTCTATAAATGGGGACAGTATAAATATAGACTATTTTTTATGTTTTAAGAAGAATGTTTTATGTTTTGTCAAGAAAAGAAAATCGTTTATATTTTGTGCTCTCTTTTAAGTACTTCACATACATTTTATCTAATCGAACAACCTTGTTTTTTGACATTGTCCCCATTTTATAGGTGAGGCTTGGTTAGATTGAATAACTTGCCCGAGAGTGGAAACCGGAATTCAAACCTGGCACTAGAGGCTGAATGCTTTACCCTGCTGGGCATCTGTGTGGTTTTACTGTGAAATGATTAATGAGGATTTGCCCTGCCAAAGGTGGTATTAGAAAGCTGCAGGACTCCCCTTTCTGGCTTCATATTGTGTTTCCCTACTTGGGACCGGACAGTAATAGGTGCGGAGTAAATATGGAATCAATAAAAACAAAAGGTCTGGGTTCTTTTCTGTGCTCTGACCATCTGAAGCATATTCCACGAGCTAGAAGTGTGGCTGTTTTTCCTACCTTACAGAAGAGGAACGGCCATATCTCCCGCTTGGGAAAGGACAGGCTGAGAGAGGGATCTGGCTGAACTGAGGGAGAGTTGAAACGGAGTTATAAATTATTTTGAGGTGGAAGACATTAACCCATGTCAGCTCCCTCGAATACTGATTTTATTTTATTTTATTTCCAAGGTACATGCCCTTGACCGGAATTGAACCTGGGACCTTTCAGTCCGCAAGCCGACGCTCTATTCACTGAGCCAAACCGGTTTCGGCTCGAATACTGATTTTAAAAGGCGTCGTAAATAATATCTGGACAACCAAAACAAAGTCATTATCTGGGTAATTTAGACACTCATTTCTCCATTAGCTTGGCATTGGGGCCCGGATCATTTTGATTTCACGAGTCTTTTCCAAAGGAATTCAGAAATTAAAAGATCACTGTGTGCATATATATAGGTATTTTGTATGTTATGTCAATTTTATTTATTTAATTTTATTTTTTCCATCACCACTTCTCCCCTCTATACCTTCTTCCACCTCGTCCACCTCCCCCCTGCAAGGATTAGTTAATGTTAACAATAAATCCCACCTTCCCCGACAACAAGCTTGCTAAGGCACCTGTTTGTTTGACCTTGGCTGGGGCCTCCAGAGATGGGGGTGAAGAAGTAGCCAGTCTTTAGCCCAGGAGGTGAAGAGCCCCCAGCTGCAGTGGGCTTCTGCTCTTTCGTGTGTTGCTACCATTTGGGCTGAAAAGCAACTGCTGTGGGGCCCAGGTAGGTAAATAGGTGGTAGCCGATGGGAAAGTGAAGGCTGTAAATGTCACCCTTTGTACCCCTCCTCACACCCCCTTACCCAAGGTGCCTTATGCCTTGCCCCAGTGCCTCGTCTTCATTTGCCACTGAGGTGGACCCCATCACGTGAGACCTGTAATTGGCGGGGATTGTCTTAGATGCCTAGCCTTTTAGTGCCAAGAGCATTTGAAATTATTTTCTCCACAGGCAATTGAGGCCAAGAAGGGACATCACTGAAGTGAAATAACACAGCTGGTGTCACTGTTGTGTTGTTTTTCTTCTCAAGCCCCCATTACAGTTACAGTGAGGATGGAAGGGCTTGGGAAAGGCAAGAACATCTACAGAATTGGGCTGCATTGGGACCACTAACCTCACACTGTTTTAGGGGAAACCACGCGGATGCCGGGAGAACTGAACACATCCTGTCACCCACTCGGGAAAGGAAGAGGGCGGGAGCTAGAGAGTGCCCAGGCTTTTAGGATCAGCTCCGAGGGGATCAGGGCTGGCCGGAGGCCCCGGAAGGGCAGGACCACTGGCTGGGCGCAACCCTACTTCCTGCCCGAGGGGAGGGCGGGGCGTTGGGTCTCCATGGAGACGGCTTCCCCTAGCAACCTGGAGGACGTTGAGCCGAGCGGCTGCCGACATGGACTCGGACAGTCTCCTGCTGTCCCTGGAGCTGGCGTCGGGCAGCGGGCAGGGGCTCAGCCCGGACCGTCGGGCCTCGCTGCTCACGTCCCTTTTGCTGGTTAAGCGCGACTATCGCTACAGTCGGGTGCTCTTCTGGGGCCGCATCCTCGGCCTCGTGGCCGATTACTACATCGCGCAGGGCCTGAGTGAGGACCACCTCGCACCGCGCAAGACACTGTACAGGTGGAGCCTGAGGCCGCTGGCGATACGGAAGGGCCACTGGGGGCCTGCAAGGAAGAGTGGGTGGTGGTAGGAACCGAAGGGGCGGGGGCTACGGGGTCAAGGAAGCAGGAGGAGATGGGATTTGCAGAGGAGGGAATTGGGGGGGACTGGGGAGGACCCGAGGGGCGGGGAAGTGGGTGGACGAGGTCTGAGGGCGGGGCTCTGGGCGGACACTGCCATGCTTGGGGCAAAGGGACGCGGGGGAAACTTAGAGACTTGGTTTTCAATAGAGTCTAGTAGGGCCCTAGGCCGAGGACGGAGGCAGAGCGAGGCGAAAGTTGCTGGATAATGGAGACCTGGCTTAGAAGCCAGGGGCAGCCTGGTGCGGGCGTGTCTGGCTTTGGTAAGAGTTGAATTTGGAGAAGTGTCAGAAGCCTCTCCCCCCGCCCCCAGGGGTTGTGTGGAGCTATTTGGAAGCATATCCAGAGCCCATCTTCCGCGGAAGTGTTGTCTCACAGCCCGAGGCTCCCTAGGAAGTCCCC